GACATGTACATGCATACATGTATGTGTATAGATATAGACACACATGTATAAAACCAAAAGCCATTTTCGAACGTGAAAGTGGTCAAAAGATATGAAAAAAATACTTCTTAAAAGATTTGCAAACAGTTCACAATCATATGAAAGAATGCCCCAAATTACTAATCAAAATGACTGAGATTTTGCTTCGCACCCAGACAATTCACAAATGACAAAAGATGAGAATAATTAATGCTGGAAAGACAAGTCCGCTAATGTACTGTTGGAGGACCTGTGAATTGGTGGAGTCACTCTGGAAAGCAATTTGGATTTAAGAAAGTAATGTAATGAAAATATGCATATTCTTTGACTCAGGGATTCCACTGCTGGGTGATCAATGATAAAAAGACCCAAAGATACTGAAATATCTATGGCAGCCCTTTCTGTGGTAGCAAAAAAACCAGACACCAAGTAGACGCCCATCGGTTGGGGAATGGCTAAACACAAGGAATACTAGTAGCTAGCTTTTCTATAGCACTTTAGAGTTTGCCAAGATCTTTTCAAATACCTCATTTGATCCCCACAACGACCCTGTGATTGTAGGTGGTTATTTTAATAGGCTTCATTTTACAGATTAGAAAACTGAAGCTGAGAAGCTAAGTGGTTTGTCCAGGGTCACGCTTTTGTTGCTGTTCGGTCATTTCCGGTCAAGTTCGACTCTATGATTGTATTTGGGGTTTTCTTGGCAGAAACACTGGAGCGGTTTGCCATTTCCTTCTCCAGCTCATTTTACAGATGAGGAAACTGAGGCAATCAAGGTTAAGTGACTTTCCCAGGTCACACAACTAGTAAGTGTCTGAAGGCAGATTTGAACTCCTCACTCCGGGCCTGGCACTCTATCCACTTCACCACAAAAGTGCCATTAAAAACGCTTAGTATAATGTCTGGATATAAGTGGTGGTTCTGTCATTTTTCAGTTGTGTCTGACTCTTTGTGACCCCATTTGTGGTTTTCTTGGCAAAGGTATTGGAGCAGTTTGCCATTTCCTTCTCCACTCATTTTACAGATGAGAAAACTTAGACAAACAGGGTTAAATGACTTGCCCAGGGCTACACAGCTAGTAAGTGAGGTCAGACTTGAACTCGGGTCTTCCTGATCCAGGCCTGGCACTCTATCCACTGTGCTACCTAGCTGCCCGCTAGCATTGCCTGCCCAGATTCAAATTGTGATTAACTTTGAATCCTGTCCGAAGAGAGCGGTGTTAATTTTTATGCGTTGGAGCACCTTTAAAACAAACAAACCGATCCCCCAGAAGCCCCACCCCCTTACACTAAATACAGGAGGCTGCGACTGGATCTTAAATGTCCCTCAAATTCCACAACCGCAACAAGCCTTAGGCTTTTGGCAGATGGAAGGCAGGGAGCGCTTCCTTAGGAAGGCTGCACCATCACGCAGCTCATCCCCTGGTGGGATTTGAGCAGAGTATGCTGAGCTTTCCAGCCCGCAGATATTCTTCCACCGCAGACATGGATGGGTAGCCCTTGAGGAAGTTCTCCAGGTCGACTTTGGTCAGACAGCTCAGCCCTTTCATTTTCTGCAGGAGGCTGTTTGTCTTTTGGAGTTGTTTCTGCATTTTGTGGGTTTCCAGGAGAGTCTTGTGCTGCAGTTTCATCTCTGTCTCGGAGTCTTTCACCTGCAAAGAGTGGATTCCCAGAAAGCTTTTAGGCTCAGCTGTGTTCATAGGTCCTGGGGGTTTCCCTTTCTAGTGGGTCCCTGTCCTAGAACTAGGTTGGAGCCTTCCCTGATGTATCAGCGTTGTGGTTTTACTGAAGAAATGTTAGGGAAGAAAGTTTCTGTCTCCTTAGCATCCCTCTAATACCTTCCCCACCCCCCACCCCTGTGCTTCCTTCATCCCCAGCTCTCCAGTTCCCCTCTGGCCTGTGCCACATCCTCTGGGATTTGCTCTCCACAGGAGTGTCAGGATACTTCTGCCCCCTGCCTTCTCACTACCAGGTTTCTACAGGGAACAGGGCACCAGAAATTAGAAATCTGTTTTCTGCTTCTGTCTGTCCCTCCACTTCTGCCTTAGTCTTAAAAAAAAAACAAACAAACCAACCATTGAAGAAGTGAAAGCATATTTCACTCATTCATTCAGGACTAACTCTGGACCTCCAAAGGTGTATGGTTACAGGTGAATGAAGAGGGGTATGTGGTATACAAAGATATTTTTTGTCTCCTTGTATGTGGTCAGACAGCTGGGGAAAAGACTTTTCTTTAGATTAGGGTTTCATAAGACTTTATCTGTGACATGGACCCCTTTGGCAATCTGTTGAACCCTTCTCACAATAAATGGGTTTTTGTTGTTTTTGCCTGCATTCATAGTTGAAGAAAATATTAAATTTAAGATGGAGGTTAATAAAAATATATTTTTTTCCCCATCCAAGCTCACAGACCACCGTGGAATCTATCCGTGGGCTCCACAGGAGTCTAGGTACCCTGGGTTATAGACTTCTACTTTAAGGGGAACACAGTTATAGCGATACACAGGTTAGTTTTGATGATGGTGAGTTACTTCTTCTCTTTCCCACTTCCTTTAGCCATGCCAGAAAAGCTGTTGGAATAACTGGTGCCTCCTGGGAGACAGCATTGGATTTATAGCCAAAGGACTTGGGTTCCAATTCCATGGCCAACACCTAGGGCCTGTTGGACGTAGAACAAATAACTTTAACCCGTCTGAGTTTCAGTTTCCTCACCTATAAAAGGCGGGGATTGGATTAGATAGCTTTTAAGAACCTTCAGCTCTAAGCCTGTGATGATAATAATAATAATAGCTAACATCTGTTTTTAGGTTTGCATAGCACTTTACGTATATGATCTCATCTAATGATGATGATGATGATGATCTATATAGCACTTACTATGTGCCAGGCACTGTGCTAAATGCTTTACATTTACTATCCCATCTGACCCTCACAACAACCCTGGGAGGGAGGTGCTATTATTATCCCCAGTTTACAGGTGAGAAAACTGAGGCTCAGGAAAGTGTTGTGTTAGAGTCACATAACTAGTAAGAGCCTGAGGCAGGACTGCCTCGAACCTGAGCCTCCTTGCTCTGATTCTCCAGTCATTTCTTTTGGCATTGCCTTTACTGTGTACCTCTTCTACCCTCTCCTTAGTATATCTTCTCTGGGAAATTTTCTCAATTTCTTTCTTCCTTTTCCCTACCAGGGGACACATAACAGTTAACTTTGGATTATTTAGGGGCTGATTAGGGGCTCTTGTTCCCTCTGGCTGTTGTCACTTGGATAGTCTCTCTCTCCCGCCATTATTAGCCACTGAGTGACTGGAAGAAATAAAAAGAGATGAAATATAAGTATCAGTTAACTTTTTCAGCTTGTTAGCCAGCCTTATAAAATGTGTGTGTGTGTGTGTATGTGTGTGTGTGTGTGTAAAAGTGGCTAAAATGAGGAGTTGGAGGGGGTAACCTGTGGATTTTTTTTTTTAATTTTTTTTTAGGCTATTGGGGTTAAGTGACTTGTCCAGGGTCACACAGCTAGTAAGTGTCAAGTGGTTGGTCTGAGGCTGGATTTGAACTCAGATCCTCCTGACTTCAGGGCCAGTGCTCTATCCACTGTGCCATCTAACTGCCCCTAACCTGTGGATTTAAATAATGTTTTCTGGTCATGTGTTGTTAGGAAACAACAAGGGTGGATGGATGGATGGATGGATGGCATAATGTGCTGTTCAAAGCAGACTCCTTGAACATGAGTTGTGAGCTTGGGGAGTGATGCAGGTAGATGAAAGAAAAAAGCTTACCTTGACCTTGGTGCCCAGGTTTAAGTGGATTTTTTGTTTGTAGTAACTGAAGGTGATAAGCACTTTATCCTGGGTTTTAACGTGGACACCAAAGCATGGATTGAGATCGAAGTAAATCGGCTGGTGAGGGGGTGCATGGATATGTTGATTTGGGTCCCACCAGTTCCAGGCCTTCTGTCTTCCTTTTGCATCAAAGTAGAAGCCCAAATTCAAACCCAGACACATCCTAGACCAAGAAGCCCACAGTCAGGCAACCAGCACAGATAGGTTCTTTTAAAGACAGGATTCTATTTGTTGTCTAACTCCCTTTCCCACCCCTGCCCCTCACCACTTGACTTGAACACAGATCAGGTAGGTGGGGGCCCATTTTTCTCTTTTGCTAAGAGATGTTACTGTGACTGTATGCACAAGTTGGTAGGCTCTTATCCAGCTGAGGCGGACCCATTAAACCTTCCTTCTAAGAAGGCACATCTAAGGTGTCTTAAGGTAGATGTCTAAGAGGGTGGATAGAATGCCTCAGAAAGATGGGAGTTTGAATCAGACAGGTTGGTGCAATTCTTTTTTAACAAAAACAGATAAAAAATAGATGTTTTTTGACATCTTTTGTCATTCTATTGCTTGGGTTTCCTTCTCTCATTCCTTTGCCAGGGAGCCATCCCTTATAACAAAGGATTTATTTAAAAAAAAAAAGAATAAAACGAAAGTAGAGGGGAAAAAAATCAGCAAAAATGATTGACATACTGAGAACATTGGACATTATCTGTAATATTTCACACCCGTGGACCCTCATCTCTGCAAAAGATGGGGGTGGGAGGGCGGGAAGTGTGTTCTCCTATCTTTTATCTGGGTCCACGCTTCTTCTTCGGAATTTTGCTACATTCAGTTTCAGTTACTTCCATTTGTGGTTGGTTGGTCAGTCAGTCAACTAGCATTTATTAAGTGTCTACTGCTGTGCTAAGCACTGGGGATACAAAGAACGAACCCCCACCCCCCAAACAACCAATACTTTCTCAAGGAGCTAACAGTTTAATGGGGGCGAGAGCATGCTGGTAAATGTTTAACAACTCTTGTTATTCATTCATGTCCAACTCTCCCTGACCCCATTTGGAGTTTTCTTGGCAAAGATATGGGAGTGGTTTGCCATTTCCCTCTCCAGTCCATTTTACAGATGAGGAAACTGAGGCAAGCAGGGTGAAGTGACTTGCCTGGGGTTACATAGCTAGTGAATGTCTGAGATTGGGTTTGAACTCAGGTCTTCCTGACTCCAGTCCCAGCGCTCTATCCACTGCACTACCTAGTTGCCTAGCAACTAGCTCTCCAAAAAATAAAAAGTCCACACTACTACGTTTAATCTTCATTATTATCTGTTTCTCTGTCAGCTTCCTTACCTAGATAGTCAACAAAACAATAAATAAATCCCTGATTTGTAGTGTTGTGTATTTTTGAGATGTAAATGCTTATGCTGAAAACATTAACAATTGACTCTCCTGAACCCCAGCTTCGTGCAAATGATATATACGGGATAAACCAGGAGCAGTTTCAGAAGGAAGGCAGCTAGGTGGTGAAATATAGTGCCTGGCCTGGAGTCAGGAAGACCAGAGTTCTTAGCTGTGTGACCCCAGGCAAGTCACCTCACCCTGCTTGCCTCAGTTTCCTCATCTGTAAAATGAGCTGGAGAAGGGAAAGGCAAACCACTCCAGTGTCTCTGCCAAGAAGAGCCCAGGCAGGGTCACAGAGCAGCACATGATTGAAATGACTGAACAACAGCATTCTGGTGCTACCTACCTAGTCAGTGACAATTAAAAGCTTGTTTAAGCCTACCTCAGTTACATCAGATAACCTACTAGGGGAGTAATTTCCCAGGAAGTTTAGGGTGTGGGGATAGGCATAGTGAAGATCACTTAGTTCTTAAATATTTAGCAATAGTGATTCCCCCCCTTCCTGCCAAAAAAAAAAAAAACTCTCCCAAATAAAAAACCTGAGTCCCTCTGCCTTCCCCAAAGAAATTTTTGAAAAATCTAAAAAAATATTATCCATTCTTTGAAACACACAACTCAAAATCCTTTTTAAAGGCTCAAAACTTCATGAATGAATATGCATTAATACCCCAGCCTGATAAATGGAGGATGAAATCAGAGAGGCAGCAACATATATTGTAAATAGTGAGGTGAATATGCAGGCCATCGGCAAGTAATATTGATTCCCCAGGTTACTTGGAGACAATGTATTCTATAAGCTCATTCTCAGGAGAAAATAGTTCACTTTCCTCGAAGATTTGCTCTTTTTTTTTGGTCAGGTTGTACTTCAGTCATTTTTTAGCCATGTCTGACTCATTGTGACCCCATCTGAGGTTTTCTTGGCAAAGATACTAGAGTGGTTTGCCAAAGAAATGGAGGCAAACAGGGTTAAGTGACTTGTCCAGGGTCACACAGCTAGTTAAGTGTCTAATGCGGGATTTAAACTCTCTCTGACTCCAGGCCTGGCGCTCTATCCACTGTGCCACTCAGCTGTCCGTGACAAGATTCTTACCTATAAAATGATGGTGGAGGGGTTAGGCTAAATAGTCTCTACGTTTCCTTTTTAGCTCTAATACTATGATCTGAAGATGCAACATACATCTGCAAGGTTGTTTCAGTGTTATTATTATCATTGTTATTTTTTTGTATGGTAGTCCTATCTATATGTGTCATCTTCCTCTCCATGATGGCAGGGACTTCATCCCTCATAATTCTATGTTTCTAGGATGAAGGCCCTCTCCCCCCCTCCTCGTTACATTAGCCTAGTTCTCTGAGACAATCAGAGACTTTGCCAGACACTGGCTTTCTAAACCAATTCTTCCAAAGTTTGACCTCCAAGATTTGTCTGGAATGACCACCAGGCTGTGGGATTTATGATTCCTGTTTGACCATAAAGAAAGAAAAGGCAGCAAGGTAGAAGAACATATCCAGAGAGGTCATGATTAAGCTAAGAATAGAATCCAGGTTTTTAAAATCTCAGACCAGGGCACCATTCACTTTTACCACAGTACCTCTCTGTGGGCCCTAAGAAAGCTGCTCATACTACCCAAGCTTACCGGATATTTTGTTCTTTGTCATAGAAGGTAGCATGTCCCATGTTGTTGAGGAGGGCCTGCAAGTGTAATTTTTCTTCATCTTTGAAAATCATGTAGGTGAAGGCATCACAATCTTCTGTGTGTGAGATAATCAGTGCTATGTTCCCTGATGGATAACTGGGGAACTGTTAAGGCACATTCAGGCAATTTGGAATCTATTTAAAAAAATAAACCTACCCAGAACACACTCATGAGGCTTAGTAAAAAACATTCATGTGGCAATGCAGTGCTTGCTGTTCCTAGCTAGTGTGCAGCCACAGGTATGTACTATACTTGCCAACTTGTATCAAAGTTAAGTATCCCTTTGCCCGAGCAGATACTAAATCTGACCTGTCCCATCTGGAAAGAAAATGGAGAGCGGCTTAGAGACACAGTCTTTACCCTTAGGACCCTTGTAAAATGTTGGAACACCAAACCCTCGATGAGCCTGGGGAAAAAGGAAAAATCAGTTAAGCGAGTAAGATACTCGTCTCTCTGAAGTGCAGTGCCTGAAGTTTTGCCCCAAGTTGCTTAAGCTGTGATCCAGTTTTCATTCTCTAAACATGCCTTAGATCACTAAACACCAACTCACACAAATGGCTCTGCCGCTAATGGGCTGAGTGAGCTGTGTGCTAAACTAGGAATCAGGAAGAACTGGGTTTAAACCCTGCCACAGATACTATCTGTGTGACCTTGGGCAAGTCACTTAACATCTGTCTGCCTAAGTATATTCTGTACAAGGAGGGGGTTATATTTGCTTCTCTCTAGAGTCCCTTAGAGCTTTAAATCTATGTTCCTATTTGGGCCTCAGTTTCTTGTTCTATAAAATGAGGGGCCTCGACTTAATGCTAGCAAAATAGTTTACTTTATATGCAGAGGCTGTGTGCCCTGTGGAGTTCAGGACAGGAGATGACTGCTTTGTGTGAAATATTCCACCTTTTTTTATTGGTGAGAGAAGGGGAGGATGGGAAAGAGAGGAAAACTGGTGAATGCCAGCCCTTTAAATCCAGGACCAGATTTTCCCCAAAGGCTTCCTACTTATCAAATCTAGCCTGCCCTCAAATAAGCAATGACTACACCATCATTTTCTCTAGTGGAGGCCCTTATCACTTTCCTCTGGACTATTGTCTAACTGGTCTCCCTGCCTCCAGTCTAATCCACCCTCCATATAGATGCCAAATTCTATTCCTAGGGCACAAGTTTGGCCATATCACTCACAGCTCATTTTATAGACAAGGAACTGAGGCAAACAAGGTTAAGTGACACGCCAAGGGTCACACAGCTAGTAAGCATCTAAAGCCAGATTTGAACTCAGAAAGATGAGTCTTCCTGACTCCAAATCTAAGGCTTTATCCGCTGAGCCACCTAGCTGCCCTCCAGTTTGTTTTTGGCGAGGCATTTGGGGTTAAGTGACTTGCCCAGGGTCACACAGTAGTGAGTATCATGTGTCTGAGGCCGGATTTGAACTCAGGTCCTCCTGACTCCCGGGCTGGTGCTCTATCTACTGCGCCACCTAGCTGCTCCCCTCCAGTTTGCTTTGGAGGAAGACAAATGATGGTGAACATGGGAGAGACAATTGACTTCTGGCTCTTTCTAGATGTCATTAAGGAAAGCAGCTCATTCCAGATGGCCTTTCTATATACTGCTCTGGGGAAGGAGAATCTATGGCCTCATTCCTTGTAGCTGACAAGTTTCTTTGTGTTCTTGGTTCAGGGTGACAGATTCTGTTCATAACAACAGCATATGTTTATTATGTGGTGCTTTCTGGCTCAGCAAGAGATCAAAATGATTGTCTATGTATGAAGAAATCAAATGGCATGGTCTTTGACATGGTGTTCCCCTCCCATTTTTATTATTATTATTATTATTTTTTTTTTGGTGAGAAAAAGTGAAAACGGATTTGGTGGAGAGGAGCATTCTCTATTTGGAAGATTAGGGATGTACTGCTGCCATTTTCATAGGTTCCTTTTATAAGCCATGGGGTGTGGGCCATGCCCACTTGTAGTGCTTCCCACCTCTCACCTAGGTGTGTTACAATGGGCACAGAACTCTACTCATTCTACTTAGCTAGTTCTTTTGCCCATTCTGGCAAGTATGTGATCCCCAGGGACAGACCTCTCAAATTCTCTCAGGATCTTAGAGGCAACTCTGTTGAGAGCAAATGCTCTCCCCCTACACACCGATGTAGTTCTTGAGCCCGTACCAATGCATTTTTATACAATCAGCCAATAACAATGACATTTTTAGATCTTAAAATTAAACATTTATTTAATAAGACAAACCATCAATACGTTAGTAAGACAATCTCATAAAGATCGTATAGAGATGAGAAATAATCATATCTGTTGGTACTTGCTGTTCCCTTCTATCACCCAGGTTTGTAACCTTGGAGTCATTCTCATCTCCATGCTCTTCGTCATCAGTTACATCTAATCAAGTGCCAAAACTTGTCAGTTTTACCTCCATAACATCTCTCATACCCATCCTCTGTTCTCTGTTCATACAACTATTGCCCTAGTTCAGGCCCTTATCAAATCTTACCTAGACCACAGCCACAGTCTCTTAAATGGTATTTCTGCCTCGTCTTTCCTCACTGTAATTCATCTTCCACGTACTAAAGTGATTATTCCTAATACCTGCTCAGTAAACTCACTATCCCACTGTCTACAGTGCCTCTTCCAAACCTTCTCATCCTCATTGAACCTCCCATGGCTCCCCTCCTCCTGCCCTTTCAGCCTGGTACCATACTCTACTGTACTCATATTTTACAGAAAAAATTGGGGCCATTTGCTGTAAACTCTCTTCTCTTCTCCTTATTTCATGTCTTTCAGATACCTTCTGCAATTATCTCCTTCACCTTTGGCTCACATGAAGAGGTGATCCTATTTTTAACTAAGGCAAATCCCTCTACCTGCACAAGAGATACCAATTCCATCCTGTCTCCTGCAACAGACTGTCCCCTTTATTGTCCCCACTCTCATCTTCTATTTCTTCCTTCTCTGCTGTCTGCAAGCATGCTCACATCTCCTCCATCCTCAAAAATCCCTCAATTGATCCTTCCATCCCCACTAATGATCATCCTATATATCTCTTCCGTCCTTTGTGGCTAAACTCCTTGAGAAGGCTGTCTACAATAAATGCCTCCACTTCCTTTCTTTTCACTCTCTTAATCCCCTACAGTCCCACTTCCAACTTCATCTTTCCCCTTAAAGTGCTCTCTTTAAATATACCAATGGATCATCTACTTGCCAAATCCAGTGACCTTTTCTCAATATTCATTCTTCTTTATCTCTTTTGCAGCCTTTGTCACTGTTTGGTCATCCTCTTCTTGATCTTCTCTTCTCTCTAGGTTTTTGGGACATCACTTTCTCCTAGTTCTCCTCCTACTTATCGGACCACTCCTTCTCTGCCTCCTTTGCTGGGTCCAATTCCGGATCAAAACCTCTAACCATAGGTGTACCAAAGGGCTGTGTCCTGTGACCTTTTTTCTAATACTACTTTACTTGGTGGTGATATCATCAGCTTCCATGAATTTAATTATCATATCTGTGCGCAAATTTACCTATCTTGCCCTAATCTCTCTTCTGACCTCCAATCTTGTAACTTCAACTGCCTGTTAGACATCTAGAATTGGATGTACAGTAGACATCTTAAACTTAACATGGTCAAAACTGAACTCATTATCTTCCCCCCAAACCCTCTTCCCTTTCCAAACTTCACTAATACCATCAAAGGCACCACTATCCTTCTAGTCCCTCAGGTTCACAACTTAGGTGTCATCTGCTCCTCACTATCTCCCATCCTCCATATCCAATCCATTGCCAAGGCCTCTTGATTTCACTTTTGCAACAACGTCTCTCAAGTATCCCTCCTTCTCTCCTCTGACACTGCCCCAAATCTGGTGCATGCCCTCATCAGCTCACATCTGGACTATTCCCATAGCCTACTGGTGGGTCTGCCTGTCTCAAGTCTCTCCCCACTCCAATTCATCCTCTATTCAGCCACTTAAGTGATTTTCCTAAAGTGAAGGTCTGACCATGTCACACACACACACCTCCTTCCCCTAACACTAAATAAGCTCTAGGGGCTCTCTGTCACCTCCAGGATCAAATACAAAATCTTTTGTTTGGTATTCATAGCCCTTCATAACCTAACACTGCCCCCCACTGTCTTTCCAGTCATCTTACAATTTTCACCCAACCATGTACATTTTGATCCAGTGACACTGGCTTCTGTGCTATGCCATGAATAAGACCTTCCATCTCTTGGTTCTGGGCATTTTCTTTGACTGTCCCTCATGCCTTCAATGCTCTCTCCTCATCTCCACCTCCTGGCTTATCTGGTTTCCTCTACATCCCAACAAAAACTCCAATCTCTCTTAATTCTAGTGCCTTCACAGTGTTAATTATTTCCTCTTTATCCTGTATATGGCTTGTTTGTACATATTTTGTTTGCTTTGTTTGCTAGATTGCACTTTACCAGATTTACTGCTTCAAAGAGCATTACATATTTATGTGCATCCTTAGAATTTGTTTTAGTTAGGACTAATCTTCCCTTAATCTACCTTCTTTCAAATTCACTCTCCCCTCTCCTCCCCTTTCTCTCCTATTTTCCCAGTTGAAAGAAATATATTTCTGTATACAACTCTGTGTGTATGTATTTTTTTTTTTGACCAGTTCAGATGATAGTGAGGCTTAAATGTATGCTGGCCCTCACCCAAGTCCCATCCTTGTTTGTATAGATGTCTGTCATAATCACATTCTAATTATGTTAGATAATCCTCTCTAACCTTTCTTTCCCTTCCCTTCTCCTCCCCCCACCATTTATTCTTTTTTCTCTAGCTTTCCATTCTTTTGTTAAGATCATCCAAACACAACAAAGCCATTCTAAGGCCTTGAAGAATTGGATTTCTTCTGTTATCCCTGATGAGAATGGAATTCCAAGGGGACACATGTAAAATCTCTCCATATTAGAACGGAAGCAGTTTATCCTTGTGTATTCATGTTTACCTTTTTATATCTCTTCACTCCTGTGTTTGCACTTCAAAGTACTCTGTAGCTTTGGTCTTTTTATTAGGAATGCTTGGAAGCCCTCTATTTCAGTAAACAGCCATTTCCCCCCTCTGTAGGATTATATTCAGTTTTGCTGGGAAATTATCTTTGGCTGTAAGTCCATATCCTTTGCCTTCTGGAATATCATATTCCAAGTTCTCTTCTCCTTCATAGTGGAGACCACTAAATCATGTGGGGTCTGGATTGTACTCAGTACTTGAATTTTTTTTTTTTCTAGCTGCTTACAATATTTCTTCAATGACTTTGAAACTCTGGATTCTGGCTATCGTGTTCCTGAGAGTTTTCATTTGGGTTGTCTTTTAGGAGGTGACCACTGGATTCTTTCTTTTTCCACTTTTCCCTCTGGTTCTAAGAAATCAGAGTACTCTTCTTTTCT